CCTACACAGTTTGAGATTTCTTTATTCTTTTTTTTTTTTTTAAACACTCTCCTTTCAGATGATATTGAGCAGAGCTATCGCTATCGAAGAATCCGTTATCTAGGCAAATTAGATACAACAGAGCCATGATAAGGCCTAATCATGGAATAAATTACTCTATTCCTCTTTAAAGCACTTTTTAATCTCAGGTTCGCCTTAAGTGCTGCATTTCATGAATGTATGACGGAAATTTCGCTGACCACAAGCTTTGATCTTGCTCCCTGGTGGTGGAAATGCGGCAGTCAAGTTATATAAACGCTGGTTCAGCGGTCAGATTATGGTGAAGCAGATATATACGGCGTAAGGTTTAATTCATTTCATTTCCTCAGTCATGCAGTTAACTGATCACGAACTCTGGAATGCCAGAGGGATCAATGCATTCTCTCCTAGCCCTTTTAAGTGACGCATTTTGGCCGTTCATAGGCCTGAGACCTAAAATATGTGATATAAAGCGTGATTAGCAGCAGAACTTCTAATAATAGGGAGCACCTGGTCCTTTCATTCAGTCATACTACATGACTAATTTTCTACGCACTTCTGAGAGAGATTGTTTGAGAAACGGCCTTGGTTATCACCACATCGGTCACTCGGATGATCGGGAAAAGAGCTCACAAAGGCTACAGAGGAATAGCAGGGATTGCATTGGCACCTGACTATTTCCATTTGACATCCCTGGCACAGAGACAAGGATTATACTGTCCAATTTATCTCTATGTTCTGAGGCTTACCGCTATCTAAACAGCTTGCCACTTCAAAGTGGAAGACAAACAGGGCAGAAATGGACTGTACTCTTGGACTGAATCAGCTTAGCAGAAGTCCATTTAAATGGCAGGAGCTCTGGAAGAAAATGCGTTTTTGATCTCGGAGGAAAAAGAACCATGGTAAACCTACGAAAGACCTCTGCACTGCCCCTCAATGCTCATATGAGGTAGGACACTTAAATTGGGATTAGCTTTAAAGGTGGAGTGTGGTGGCTAAATGGAAGGATGTTCAATTGACCAGATGTGTGTTCTAGTGTTCTTGAAGTCAGTGCAATATTATACACCACATTTAAATGTGCTGAGCTATAGGAATGGCACTGGCATGTATCCTATTCCTAACAGCCAAACATCTCTTCAAACTTTTTCATGATCCCTTTGTGAGGGGCATTCTTCTTAACCCTTTAAGGTACGCACCATGAAAAAAGCAAAGGAAAAATTATTTCTTTGCATTTTTTATTCAATTATGATAACAATAACAACAATAAATAAAAAAATGTAATTAGACCTTACAGTATTTTAGATACAATCCTCTACCAAACGGTTGAGACGTCTGTTCATAATAAAAGAACAACATTCAGAACAAGTCATATTAAGTGCATTTTCTTGACCAATAAAAAAATCTGATGGCTGCTATTGATGGCTCTTACAATGCTAGTCATATAGTAATACACAAACATAGTCAATTTTAAATTATGAAATTAATAGTAACACCAGAATTGGTATTAATTCTTCAAATGTATTCTTGATATTTACCATAATACAGAAATGCTGAAAAAATGATATTGATCAAATATTTTTTATCAAATATGTAATTGAATAATATTAAAATTAATCATTTTAACAACACTAACCCTTTTGTTCATTGTAAATAGCTAATTTTACCAACATTAGCTAATTTTATTAGCTAATTTTTACTACCTTAAAAGGACAACTCAACCGTTTGGTAGAGCATGTTTTAAAAAAAAATATTTGACCCTTATAAGACTTATTTTTGTTTAAATAAGTTACATAATTCTGTTTAACAACTCCTCTGAAACGATAATATGTCAACCAAATAGTCTTACCTTTAAAAGTCCCGCCGATATGCGTCATCAGAGCCATATAGAGAGCTTCACTCATCATTCTAAAAATAAATAAATCGCGGGCGAATAAATAAATCACTTTGAAATTGGTCGTGAAGCAACCGTTACCCTCGGCTATTCACAATGGTAAAATTCATGATGAATGTAATGCATGCATGAATATATCCACACAAAACAAATTACCCTCGATACATCTACAATAAAAACAATATATTTTACAGAGCTAATCAATATTGATTTAATAATTATAAAATATTTTTTTCTGCCATTATTATTAATAACCGACACAGAAATAGCGTTTACAGAATAAAATGAAAGAGTTGAAATATTGGTAATTCTAGCCTCACGCTCATAGTTTTGATTAGAATACATCACATCCGGTCGGCCGGTCGCATACGGTCTAGCCGCAGAAGTTCGGATCCAAAGCTCAAATCGTATACAAATTTTCCGCATACGCATAACTTGCGTGGTAAGGCTTTGGCAATCAGATGGCTAGTAGTATCTGCTCCACAGCCAATCAAGGGCCCCCTCCTTGTTCGGGCCCGGGGCTTTAGCCCCGCCTAGCCCTATTGATCAGAACTCCCCGCAGCTCCCGTGGCTGTCGTGTGCAGTGGAAAGGCGGCTTAAGAAAACGAATGCGAGCGGGATATACGAGATGGCAAAAGGCTCTATGCACGAACGCTGCTGACGTATTTCCGGTAGAATCTCAGCCAGTGTCTTTACCTCCGCCTAGCGTGTTCTATAGCGAAGTGTACTAGCGGCCAAACTTTAATAAAATTCATTTTCTCAGAAACGAGACAATTTTAGAAACTGATTCGCTAGTCGGATTTCGCATGATATGAGAGATTACTCACCCTCAAAGTTGTCGATGTAGCTCAAAATATATAATTCTTACACTTATGTGTGACAGCTAACTGCCACACAATATTGTTAACATCATTCACGTTAACCGCTGGAAGTTCTTGTAAACTGCGAGTGTAATTTGCCATTATCTCCACCTAATGCAAAAATCGCTTGCGACGCAGCACCGGATGTAACTGGGCGGGCTGAGACAAAACACGGAAGCGATCGTGCTGCCTTAAGCGCTGGAATCATCCCTCTTCTGCGGTTCATCACGTCTGATGAGAAATCTGGAAAAAAGCTGACTCTCTTTCCATCAACGGAAATTGGAGCTTTATCTCAGGATGTATCGCCTAAGGATACTTTCCCGGTCCTGGAATCTCAGAAGTCGAATCAGGATGGGCCGCGGAGCCTTTCCCGGGATTCGGGCTGCCGGAACGCGGTGTGCACGCTCGATGACAATTGGAGCGCCGAAGTTCTCTTCTCCCAAAACGTTCGGCAGCCATGTCTTAAAAAAATTGACAGTATCCGACCTTCAACTCCTTCACTCAATCCAATCAAGCGGATGTTTTTTGGTCTGTTGTAGTTTTCTATATTTTTTGTGGAATCCTTGATACATTTTTCAGGATACTTTGATATATAAAGTTCAAGGAACAGCATTTATTTGAAATATAATTTTGTTTTTTGTTACATTACGCATTTACTGTCTCTTTTTGATGGATAAAAAATCTTACTGTCCCCAAACATTTGAATATATATTATTATATAAAACCCATTTATATTATACTGTATGAGAAAAATATTAAGTGTGATCTAAAAACAACACATTTCCAAAAAATAACAACAGGCTTTTTCATTGCATTGCAATTTCATTGAACAAAAAAATATTAAGAATATTAAATTCTGTAAATGTGTTTAAAATTGTTACTGTCTTGGTGGGATAGTTCACTCAAAAATATGTGTCCCAGAAGAAATTGACACGGGTTTAGACATAACGCTGAACGGAAATCATTGAAATCTATATATTTTTCCTCCCATCTCATATTTTCCCACCACCATGTCCCTTTAGGGGCTCCGTAACGGAGCCCCTAAAGGGACATGGTGGTGGGAAAATATGAGATGGGAGGAAAAATATATAGATTTCAATGATTTTGCATTCTCTTGCAAAAACATGGGACATGATGATGAAAAAAAATATTTCAATGCTTTTGCGTCGTCTTGCAAAAGTTTTGACTCCCCCGAGAAACATTGCGCTTGCAAAGACCTCAAAAGGTTTGTGAGCGAACGCAGGTTTCTCAGGGGAACACAAACGTTTTGTGAGCGAACGCAGTTTCTTAGGGGAAGTGGGGAACAAACGTATTCCGAGGGGACGTAAAGTTTCTCGGGGAACGCACAACTTTTGCAAGACTACGCAAAAGCATTGAAATATATATATATATTTTTTTTCATTTTTCACCATGTCCCATGCTTTTGCAGACCCCAAGCACCCCCTTGACCCCAGTTTGAAAATGTCTGACCTAGACGTTACAGGTTTGCTTGCATGTGTGGGTAATTATAGAATCCTATCTCATTATTATTTCAACCCTGAGCAAGGTAATTAATATCAATGTTATGCTTGGGAACTGGCCCTGCAATTAGCTTAGTGGCTTTAGGTAAACAGCAACTGCAAAGTGACAAGTAATTATCTCAAATGACTATTAAGGTTATTAAGCTCCCATTTTAATAAAGCAGATGACGCCATATACATCTAAAACATAATATTCGAGATATTGCAAATGTTCCTAGCACATCATTCATGACTGGTAGCAAAATCACAAGGATTGATTACACATGTCTATTAGTAGAGGAGCATTGCAAACTTAAATATATCAAGTCACAATTATTTCATGAAGACAATCAGCATGACATTACACCAGATATCAACGAGAGAAGGGTTATCATTGGTGATGTTTACTTTGGGCTATGAGCTACAACCACAAAAACACTGTGCAAGGAGAGCAAAGATTATGACACTTTTGAAGAGTTACCAAGCTCAAGCACTTACAAAAGAGATGTCAGAAATGACCAATGGCACACATGAGAACAGATCAAAAAGAGTTCTCATTGCCAATAATGCAAGTGCCTTAGTGAGTACATTTTAAAGCAACAGCATTCATTAAAAAACAAGATGAAATGCATATTTAAACCAATACAGTATGAGCAATTAATTATTTTAAAAAACCTCCCATTCCTTAAAAAAAACTTCTTTTTTTTTTGTAAATGAAAATAATAATAAAAGAAAAATATCCATAGGGGAAAAGGGTAGCCAATCTGACCTGGTTTATATTTAAACAATATGCTTTAAAATACTGATTGTCTTATCTACATGAGCTTTGAAATATTGTGAGACACTCTTCATTCCACTGTAACTGAAAGTGAAGGTGAAATGTGCATGTCCGACTGCAGAGTATAAAACCAGTGAAGGAAAGACACCGAATAGGAAAAAGAGAAATCGCCACATCTATGTATATGATACAAAGCTGGTCAAATTCGTATATCACATACCACTGAAACGGTACAGGGCTGAATAGTGCTCCCATCTCAAACACATTTGTAATCTCTGCTGGCTTTTGTGCTGCATGCAATACAATATAGAAGTCACTATAATATATGATCTAATCTAGATTATACGAAATGCTATGAGGACTTCACTTTAAGTAACACTTGAATACTTTTTGATATGCTTCATAAATTTGAAACAACTGGTTTAACCAAGGGGAAAAAGGTTTGAATAGCTTATAAATGACGTTCTTTGATGCAATTCAGATTTTTCTTTTATCAAACATATATTTTTAAACATTGCATAAATGTCAATTATATACAAGCATACATAAATTATCTCTAAAATACTTCACTACATGTAGGGAAATAACTGTAAGCTATTGAAGGTGCAAAAAACTGTAGATTATTCAACAGTGGGATAATAGCGCAAGACAAAGTGTTTAAACATAGAATAAAAGAATACAAAAAAGAGAAAAGAAACAATAAATCATATTGGAAGCCGAATCTTATAATTCAGCAGGGTGAGGAAAGACAATAAAAGAAGCAAATAAACGTGTGAAAGGAATGCTGATGATCAGCTCATCTCCTCCTCACTCATCGTCGCTTTGGCTCCCCTCTGACTGCTCCTGAAAACAAACACACAATGACTTTACACGCACATGCAGACACACAGATCGGCCCACGCTAGAGCTCTGGTGACCCGCGTCCACCCCCGCGCCACACCTGACTGAACGCTGGTCTGCAGAGGCTCATTACTCGTGGACTGAGCTGCTTACTGAATGTGCTCTCTTATTCCTGGATAATGAGACAATCTCACACTGATTCATGAGCCATGGTCACAGGGCTCTGAGATGTTCACACTCACTTGATGTGAGGAGACTAAGCGATTTACTGACGTTCAGACATGAAGCGATCACATCAATGGAAAAAAGTGCATGTGAATGGAGGTTTCGAAAGCGAGAGAAACAGACAGACTTACATTTTCCTCTTGAACTGCAGCAGATGGGATAAAAAGAGGAATAAATGCGAGGTTTAAGGGCACAGTATATCCTTTTTTTTATAATAAATGAGTCCAGCAGAGAACTGCATAACACCTCAAATACCTCTTAGATGTTGAAAGATAAGGACATGTGGCTAAGCATCTATAAATCTCTTTGAACAGTTTTTAGGAGGGAAGGGGGGGGTTAACATCCTCAAGCATATTCAATCAAAATGTCACTGTATACACCTGTGGTTTTTGATTACAATGTTTAATTAAGCTAAATGTCAACTGGCTAAACAGATTGCAGAAATGACAGGCCTAATTGATGAGAGGAATGGTAGACTTACGTTCTCCTCTTGTTCGTCCTCGCTGTCATCGTCACTGACCACAGGCTTAGCCTTTCCACGACTCGGTCTCTTCTTGCCTTTGTCCTGACATCTCTCGTCCCGTTTACTCAGCTTAATTTTCACCTTCACTGACTTAGCTTGGATTTAAAAAAAAAAAAAAAAATTGTAATAAAAGAGATTTTAAATAAATATAGCACAACTCTAACAGAGATATAAATACACATTAGCTTATATCATTTTTTGTCATTTTAACAGGATAACACTATGAGAATACATTTTGTTTCAAATGACACACATCTATTAAAAGTCCATCTCAAATGCCACCTTTCTAAATCAGTACTTTGTAGTTAACCTGTTTGCTCGATCAATTGTAAAATTAACGTTAAACATTATAGACCTCATGAAATCCTTAGTGTTTCTGGCTTTTAGTCTATCAGGTTTGACGTCATCAATATGCCAGTGTACTCGATGAAAATGACAAGATTCACTTTTAGTATGTATTCTCTCAAAAATACAAATGACTCATCCTGCATTGCACTGATTTTTGTCCAATCAGATGCTCTCGATTGAGAACGTCAATGCAGTTGACTAGCAAGTAGAAAATCATGTTCATGCTGTGATGTAAATAAAGCCTTAAGCATTTCATCCCCTAGAAGCAGTCGAATGGAACTTTCAAACTGGCCAAAAATCAGTCGTTATCTTCCACTTATTCATCATGTTAAAATGAATGAATATTGAATATATATCCCAAAAAACAACAACAAATGTCAATACACCTAAAAGAAAAGCATAGTAGGTTTTCTATGGCTAATTAACATAAATAATGTAATTTTACATATACATAAATATAACACCTCATTTTACACAAATAATGTTTAAAGATGAATGTTTTAGTGCAAAGATAATGACAATTCTCACCTCACGCCGAACTACACTTTTAAATGCAAGTATTGGTTTTCAGCTAACTCACATACTATTGATTAAAGTACATCACGTCCGACCCAATTGAACTGCAAAGGTTTAAATATTTCAACTCACCCGAAGCTAAAATTGGATTCGAAAATTATGCATGTGCATATGATACGCAAACAATGCTCCCGTACTACTCTCCACTGGAAATAAATGACTCCGGAGATAGTGAAATGCAACTTTATGGCTATTTAAAAAAAAAAAAAAGGTTTAGGACTTTGAAATGTGCCGCCCCAAACAACCTGTTTCAACAAAGGAAAGAACTGCACTTCTCAAGCAAGTACATTCATTACTATCAGTGAATTGGTCATTTGTTAATGAAAAATCTTACACTCTTCCTCTGAATCTTCCTCATCATCGTCATCATCATTGCTGTCATCATCACTCTCCTCCCTGGCAATCTTTTGTCTGGCACTCTTGAATACTGACTGGAGAACAATGGAGTCCTCATAGATCTACAAAAAAGGGTAATTTACAAGCAATAATTTAAAACAAACACACCCCTTGCTGTGATTAACTGTATTATCTGCAACCCGAACAAAGTAGGAACAAGGTGAGGTAAAAATAATAAAAGCCTAATCTGACACATTCCTTTCAAATAAAAAGCGATGCTTAGAACTGTTTGAGAGATTTGATTATATTTTTGTAGACGTCTAGACTCCATCTCCAGATTGTGCTAATTTCAAAAGAGATTAAATATTGATTTTAAACACACAGACAAAATCTGGTAAGTAATCACAATACACAATCCACCATGAAAATGCTGTGTAAGGAGATCCTCAGAAATAGATATAACTGATCTGAAATATAATGGTGCAGTTCTTCTTATAAACCTTTGCATAAATAAATTCAATACATCAGGGAATTGGCAGAAATGATCTTCTTTAGACAAACCAAAAATCCCCATTTTATAGCACACAATAGCCATTTACAAACAGATCAGTGGCTCTTCATGACATGCTTAATATTTGCATGTATGACAAACACTTTATAGAACTCATGCAACATAAAATCACTGCAAAATGGTGGTGTGGTCCTACTAGGTCATTTATAACTAAGACAGTCATGGAGGGTGTTCAATCCATTTATTCACTCACCTGTGAGCCCTCTAGATTGTAAGTCTGAGCATTGTGACAAAGAAGCATGACATCTTTCTCCAGATCGCTCACACTTCTGTACTTGTGGCAGCGCACACGCTCCTGCAAAAACAAGAACACTTCTAACACCAAAACATCCTTCACCTGTAGGGTGCAACGTTAACAACTGAGGAAATTGCCAATTAGAGTTGCAACATAAAATAAGAGACACCGACATTACGAAAAACACGCAAGGCGAGTGAGGCGGCCCATTATAAGGACGAAAACATCAGTTTATCTCATCTTAAAACAAAAACCAATTCTCTATGGCTGTTATCGTCCAGCAGCCGAAGTAATGAGTGTGCCAGTCCTGATCGGACGATAATACGTCACAGCAGAACATATAATATGTGATGTCCAGATGTGTGTAGGCTTTAGGGCCACACTGAAATAAAAGATGTACTGTAACTCACGTACCTTGATCTTCTTGAAGTCCACTGGCTTCCTTATCAGTTCATAGTATTCAGGGAGCTCTTTCCTGGAGGGCAACTGCACAAAGACCTCGCTGAGCTGACGGCCTGATCTGTGATCAGAAACAGAGATTGAGGCTTATCCTGGCTTCCTCAGACTGAACGGTGAGAGATAAACTATGCAATCAGCCTGGGTGGATTTCCAACTTGGTGGAATAATGTCCAACTGCTTTTCATTATCATCATATTGGTGCTTTACTGACTATTATCCCTCAAGTTCACCCCAGGCCAACAGGAGAAAACACAAGTCTAAATCCAGGACAACAGCAAAGGGTATAAAGGTCACCAGGAGTAATACTTTCTTGAGACATACTGGCGACAAGGTATTTTTTTACCCTGTCTTCAGCTCATATCTGTCTGTTACAGTTGCTCTAAATATTTATGACACAGCGCAGATGATTCATTACACATTCAGTGATTAAATCAGGGCTCAAATTGGTGCAATTATGGTGTGTCGACCTTCATTCAGACCTCAATTTATAGTTTTTGCTGCAGATGCATGTTTAGTGTTAGTCTCATGGCTCAGACTGCAGCACAATACCAAACAGCTTTCAACTAAGCTGAAGGATGAATTCTGCTCATTACGAACTCAGCATTTAACTTAGTTTAACATTTCTAAATTGGCGGCTCAACATGTCAACAATTTCAAATGGCTCAAAATGTCAGCTATGTCATTATTATGATGGTAAATGGACTGCATTTATATAGCGCTTTCACAGACCCAATGGCCACCAAAGCGCTTTACATTTGCCTCACATTCACCCATTCACTCTCTCATTCATACACCGACGGCAGTGTATCCAGCTCGTCGGGGGCATCTGGGGTTAGGTGCCTTGCTCAGGGACACCTCGTCACTTGGTCAGGTGGAACCGGGGATTGAACCACCAACCTTTCGGTTTGTAGACAACCTACATGAACCACTGAGCCACTGCCGCCCCATGATGACATGATGAATGAGTAGCAAAACTATCTGGAGAAATTCTACAGAATGTGCTTATAGGACTAGTTAAAATTAAGGTGTGCAATTATTTTTTATTATTAAAATATATATCCTGGCTTATTCAAAGAAAACTACAAGCAAGTGATCTGGGTGGGATGCACCAATATTAAAATCTGACACCGATAATACATGTTATCGATTTGTTCATGTTATCCAATATTAAAATTTATACAATTTATACTATTTTACCAAAACATTTTTTTTTAAAAGCTACAAGAGAAATTAGGCAGATAAAAAAAAATAATAATAATAATCATTGATATTTGCCAATACTACTGCCCCTGTGCTCAACTAATGGCTTACGTTGTTTTTGTTTGGCCAACCAATGGCCTAAATCCTCTTTTCAGGAAACCTGTTTGAAACCAGTCATTTTGACAAATACATTTTCAAGACATTTCAACTTCAAAACCCAGGTGAAAGCATTGTATGCTCTGTTGTTTGGGATTAGTCATGAAAGTGTGGGACTAAGACTGGAGTAATTTCAGAACAAATGCAGCTGTGCTCAGTTTTCACATTACGTGACTCATTAAGTTCAACAGTCATATATTTGAAATAATTGCCAAGGACGTCTGTTTCTAAGAAAGACGCTTAAGTACTACCAAAGTGACATATCTAGACTTCTTGGTTTAAATATGGGCTAGATTAGAGCAATTTGTCTATCATGTAAAATTACTGCCATGTCCAGACAGCTCAATTATTATTCCACCACAACTGATATATGCTGTTAACAAGGAGGTTGTCATGGGGACCACCAAGAGAGAAACCCAACATATGATCAGTGCTACTCTTCAATCCGTTGGACTGCAGCTTAATTGGGTGACACATCAAGCCCATGTCCTCCGCTCAACTGAAATCAAACCGTCACTCTAAAGCTGGTTAGAAATTCTCAGAGGGGAATGATAATCAATATACCATGAACCAACATCCACTACATTACGAGTGTGACATTCAGACTACATTATTAATCAGAACACTGATTAATCATCAAAATAATTTAATCAAATTAAGCTTATTAATTGCCAATCTCATCGCATTTGTGTTCAGCTAATCATCTGAGCATAGAGGAAGAACTAGCTAGAGCTGCAACTCATGTCACATCCGACACAAGTGAGCACCCATGCATGCCAGAAATGATGCATGCACCCTTGGCTTGTACAAATTAAGTGGACTCGACATATTCAGGCGTGGGAATGTTCAACAGTAAACAATGTTTACAGTCACTGGAAACACTGTGATGAGTACAAGATGACCACAAGAACATTGGCCATCCTTCAGTCTCGCTCCGAGTCTGATGCATGACGTCTTTGCTAAGTGGGAGAACCTGACATATAATCATGATCAAAGCAATGGTACATTAATGTTATGTCCTGTTTGCTGTTTACACACTGTGTATTATAGTCATGGTTTGTCTCGAGCAGTACAACTGTTTTCAACATTTATAATAATAAGAAGAATGTTTCTTGAGCACCAAATCTGCATATTAGAATGATTTCTGAAGGATCGTGAGACTCTGAAGACTGAAGTAATGGCTGCTAAAAATTCAGCTTTACCATCACAGGAATAAATTACATTTTAAAATATATTTTCGATATACTTTTTAGTGCTGTAAAAAAGTTTATTAAATCGCAGATATTTCTGTAATTAATCATGATTAATCGCACCAAACAATAAAGTTTTTAATATATTTTTATATTGTAATAATTTCATATTTAATCTCCAAATTAATGTAGAAACAACATAAAGATAGATGCCATTAAACAATTTAAAGTATACTGTTTATAAATGAAGGCCAGTATCACTGATACTAATACTGGTACTGATGTCTCGATGATTTGTTTTTCTCAATTTTAGCAATTAATTATAGCAATTCAACATTACAGTATACTTGAAAGCTATGGATTTTAACATTTCTTAGGCTTTAAAAAATATATAACAACATTTCAGTTAAGTGAACTAAAAACATTTTTCACATAAACCCATTGTAATAAAGGTTACATTTACCTGTGCCCTTTAATATATCAGGGCTCAGCGCTAAAGATTTTTTTCAATTGGTCCAGGTGGGCTGGTTCAGATTTTGACCTGCCCTCCAAAAATGCTCCAAAATTAGTTTTCATTGTTTTTGACCTATGTAACCTTGCACCACTGTAACAGTGCTTTAAGATTTTCAGGTAAATAACAGGTAGGAAATAAACAGAAATTGAATAAAGTTATCAAACACTTCACAGTCTTCACTGCATAAATTACTAATTAAATATATATTAGTCCTTATTAAAGCTACAAAAGTTATTCAGTCAAGAGCAGTTTTTGTTCTTTAATTAACATTAACATTATCCGCACAAGCACATGACGCAGATCTGACACGCATTCCATTTTCTATCAACTCTTTGCGTTCATTTAATACTTTATTTAACTCATTTAAGACTGTGCTTGCGAGGATACTCAACAAAACGGGCATTTTGGCAAAATTTTCGGTGTTTTTGTCCGTTCAAGCGTGAAAGAAAACTTAATGCAGTACTGGCTGCGCTGTCTGAAGCAGCTTTCTGTGCGCACGAGTCGTGTGTGTGACACACAGACAGGAGATTCAAAGATGCGCGCCAGTACCGCAATGAGTTCTCTTTTGTGTCTTGTCATGCATGAACGGTTTAAAAGCATTTGCATGATTAAGAGCGTGATCATATAATGTTACGCTAGCCAAAAGATGACGGGAAAAAAGGATGCTGCGTTAATTGCGTTACATATTTTTAATGTGTTAAACTGAAGAAGAAAAAATTCTTCTTAAAATTTCACAAAAGTAATGCAATCAATTTGACAGCCTTATTTCAAATAGATTTTGAAAAAGACTATATACTTTTTACAACGATAGTGTACATAAAAAACTCCATTAATAGTGGAAACTACCAATACTTACATATTCTCAAGTGAATTTATTTTAATTTAAATAAAATTTTAAGTTCTGCGTGCACATTTTGCCATTTTAACATTAACAATAAATCGATTGTTAATTTGAAATGAAAATTGGTTATGGACAGTCTTGAAAATGGAAACAGATATGCTCAATGAATTAATCGACTTAAAGGACACCATGCAGGATTTTCTGGCTTGCTGCCATTAGTTTTTACAAAGCATCTCCTCCTTCATGACGGCTCTGACATTACTTCACCTTAAATTACTTCTGGTCGTTACTCTAGTCAAGAGTCATTCCACATGTATACTCCGGGACACAGTAACAATGCCTGTCAACACACTGTTTGTCTATCTCTACACTGCGACTTCCTGGAAAAGCTGAAATGTTGAGAGAGTTCAATGTTAAGAAATTGACATTCTACTTAGGGTCACCTTTACTACAAATGAACAGACAATCAAACGGTGATTAAGGAGAGCCAATTCAAAGAGACACCTGCAACAATACAGTGAGGTGAGGAATGGGCTGGCCAAATGAGCCATTCTTGGAAGTTTAACAGCACTTACGCGTCTCTGTAATTGATGACAGTATCGACAATAGCATTCATCTGTTTTGTGAGTTTGGGATGGTTTGGGGAGAGCTTCTCTGCTGGAGGGCGTCCTCTCCTTTTCTTGGCCTTGTCTCCGTCCTCACGCCTCATGTCTTTGTCCACATGTCTCCTACGCTTGCGCCTCTTCAGTCGTATTTCCTCCTCGATTTCCTCCAGGTTGCCATCCTCTATAGCCTGCCAAAATTCAACAGTTACAATCACACTGAGTAGTTAATGAGGTGGGAAATTACCAAATGAAAAGTGAACAAGACACAATTGTTGATTGCTAGATTCAATTCACTGTCTACTGGCAATTTGCACTCGACGTTCATGTGATTTTAATCTAAATTCATTCTGGAAAATATAACCAGGTATTTTCAGCATTTGGGACCGAAGCCTTTCTTCTAAATCTTTTAAATCACATGCTGATACATATACATGATTCATATAATGCCATCGGCGTGATTCTGCAAATGCAAATTTTACTGATTAGGCTCCTATGCATGACAGTGAATATTTGATTTGAGGACTTCTTCCCAACTCCCCATAGGCAGCCATGAAATCTATGTTCATTACAATAAAGTAAACTACATCTAGAAGTGAAAGAAGCTTCTGACTATAGAGAACTTGACTATAGGCACTGATTATGGAGCCATTTGGACTTTCATCAGTCACACAATCTGACATGATTGAGCTTAGCATTTGTGCAGATCTGTTCTTAATTAAATCCATCTGTCTGGCATCTTCTCTACATCCTTCCCTTCCTTTTGTTACACAGATGGATATCAAGGGATTCTCTCATCTTTCAGTCTCTCCAAACACACATTTGGCATGCATATTTACAGAGAATAAGTAATTTGCCTTCAGTGAACGTACTGTATGGTCCAATACATTTGTGTTGTTGCATTTGGCCCAGCGTCCACCCCTGTTGTAAAGAAGTATACAAGTGATCCCCCTTGTTTAGGTCTGCACAGCACTTCAAATCTCCAAATATGCTCAAAAACATTTGTAATTCCACCACCAAAGCGAGACCTTGGCGTAGCAAAGAAATCCACAGTAAATCCAACAACGTCCAGAGAAGAATCCATTCTCTTTGAAGAGTAGGAAACAGTGCTACAGTGCTGGTCAGAAGTATTTGCCCCCTTGGTAAATATGATCAAAGATGGCTGTAAAAAATAAATCTGCATTGTTAATCCTTTTGATATTTTATTAAAAAAATTAGCAAAATCACATTATGAAATAAATGTTTTTCTCCAAAACACGTTGGGGACAATTATTTGCCCCCTTTTATTAAATACTTTTTGCAACCTCCTTTTGACAAGATAACAGCTCTGAGTCTTCTCCTATAATGCCTGATGAGTTTGGAGAACACCTGACAAAGAGATCAGAGACCATTCCTCCATACAGAATCTCTGCAGATCCTTCAGATTCCCAGATCCATGTTGGCGCTTCTTCTCTTCAGTTCAGCCCACTCATTGTCTATAGGTCAGGTCTCTGATCTCTTGTCAGGTGTTCTCCAAACTCATCAGGCATTATAGGAGAAGAGCTCAGAGCTGTTATCTTGGAAAAAGGAGGTTGCAAAAAGGGGGCAAATAATTGTTCCCAACGTGTTTTGGAGAAAAACATTTATTTCATAATGTGATTTTCCCCCCACTTTCAATTCTTTTACTTCAATAAAAGGTTAGATTTGCGCTATTTTTTTAAAATAAAATATCAAAAGGATTAACAATGCAGATTTATTTTTTACAGCCATCTTTGATCATATTTACCAAGGGGGCAAATAATTCTGACCAGCACTGTATATCTGTCTTAGTTTTATGCTCTTCGGTAACATTTGCAGTAAAACTCAAAGGTCGGTTATCATAATGCGGAAAGCTTGATTCTTAGCGCAAAGTAATTCAACACACCTGTTATGCAGCTGAGCCAGAGCCCTCATTTGAGATTAATGCAAATGCACAGAGCCAGAAGTGAACAATGAGCAAACAAACAGACCTAAAAGAGAGTCCGCTTTTCAAACCAAACATTAATTAATGTGAGACTTTCAGTGGTGCAATTAGGATTTTGGTTCTCAGCCAAGATGTTATGAAAGAGGATCCAGGCCTATATCTACCTAACAGAGCTTGTTTTAGATGAATTCCCAAATAAAAATCAATGACTAAAATAATTTGTTCTCACCATAGCAAGCATTCAAGTAAATGTCTTGTTTTAAAGAGACATAAACTATGCCTTCAGTTACTTACAAAATAGCTATATTACGTTTACTTCACATTTGAAATATGATCCAATGTACACTACCATTCAAATGTTTGGGGTCTGTAAGATTTCTTTTTTTCTTTTCTTTTTTTTGATACATTGAAACTGAAACATTTATTCAGCAAGGTTGTACTAAACTAATCAAAAGTGACAGTAAAGACATGTATAATGTTACAAAATATTTATTTTTTTAATAAATGCTGTTCTTTTGAACGTTCTATTCATGAAAGAATCATGAAAAAATATATATCATGGTTTCCACAAAAATATCAAGCAGCACAACTGTTTTCAGCATTGATAAGAAATGTTTCTTGATCACCAAATCAGCATACTAGAATGATTTATGAAGGTTCATGTGACACTGACTTTTCAGCAGTCATTACTTCAGTTTTTAGCTTTGCCATCACAGGAATAAAGGACACTTTAAAATATATTAAAATAAAAAAAGTCATTTTAAATTGTAATATTATTTTACAATATTACTGTTGATAGCACTTTATTTTAAAGTCCTGTTTCGCAATAACTAGGTACTAACCCTAAACCTTCCCCTAAACCGTAACTTAACCCATGTAGTTACCTTACATTACTCAGTACTTTTGTGGGTAAGTACACTCTAAGTACATTAAAAGTGCACGTACTGTAAAATAAAATACTGCATTTTTAATTAAATAAAAATGCAGCCTTTCAAGGACATAATAACCCCATACTTGATGGGTAGTGCACATTTATGCATTCAATTTTATGTAATCAAAGAGAAAAACACAGTATGCATGCTTTTCAGCACCACATCAATTCTGTGCATTATGCATCAGGTCAGAGCAGGGGGTACACATCATCCTTTTAAACGCTGTGTCTGGAGCACTAAAATGATGCATCCCATGGCTGGGATCCTAGGTTCAAATAACGGCCATCTGCAGGGAAACCTCTGGCTTTGTTTTAGAAATGCTGAGCCAATAATGTGTAACCTTTCCTCCATCACCTCCACTGTTGTCATAGTGACGTCGCACCTGTGGGTACCGAAATAATCTAAGGGAAAGAGCTCAGCAGCACCTGTGAAAGGAACCGTACTCTGGACGTCATGTGATACTGGGGGAGTAGTCTTCAATCTCATGGACTGTGTGGGTATGATCTATGTCAGTGGTTTCCAAACTGGGGTATGCGTACCCCTGGGGATACGTAAGGTGACAGAGGGGGTACGCAAACAAAATGCTGAGTTTTGCCAATCATTTAATTCTGCCCCACCTTAAAATAACACTGAAACCGAGCATGCATTTCTAACAGGCAAAATGTGGCCTCTAATGTAAAAACAGGAAAATGGTAGTGCCGTAAAAGGTCAAATACATGACATGCAATCAAATTACAAAGTAGTAGTATGCGCACATCCAGAAAACTTTAGGCAGGTGTGCGTTCAGATCAAGCACTTCACTAGAGAGTAAACAAAAATAGGCACACTGCCACTGCTGCTTTCAAAGAATGCCAAAGAAGGCATGCCTGACGAAGACCTTCGGGTCGAAAAGTTGTACAGTTCAATAAATTGATTCTTTGGAAGCAGCAGTGGCAGTGTGCCGATTTTTGTTATCCAATCAAATTACCTCATCTTTTGCGGTCAAAACTGACTGCCTCCACACAAGAAGAGTGCATTTGATAGGTTGTGTGCAGAGTATGCTCCCTTAGCAAATCACACTACATTACTGCCGTTCTCGACAATGTACTTTTGTAAAATTGGGGTTTCAGCACTAGCATGACGAACAAATATAGACACATACTGTGCATAAAGATCGATTTAAGACTCAAAGTCTCTTCAATACAGAAACATACCCTGTGTGAGTTCTTGTTTTTAATGCTGATAATACACTCGCCTAAAGGATTATTAGGAACACCATACTAATACTGTGTTTGACCCCCTTTCGCATTCAGAACTGCCTTAATTCTATGTGGTATTGATGCAACAAGGTGCTGAAAGCATTCTTTAGAAACGTTGGCCGATATTGATAGGATAGCATCTTGCAGTTGATGGAGATTTGTGGGATGCACATCCAGGGCACGAAGCTCCCGTTCCACCACATCCCAAAGATGCTCTATTGGGTTGAGATCTGGTGACTGTGGGGGCCATTTTAGTACAGTGAACTCATTGTCATGTTCAAAAAACCAATTTGAAATGATTCGAGCTTTGTGACATGGTGCATTATCCTGCTGGAAGTAGCCATCAGAGGATGGGTACATGGTGGCCATGAAGGGATGGACATGGTCAGAAACAATGCTCAGGTAGGCCGTGGCATTTAAACGATGCCCAATTGGCACTAAGGGGCCTAAAGTGTGCCAAGAAAACATCCCCCACACCATTACATCACCACCACCACCAGCCTGCACAGTGGTAACAAGGCATGATGGATCCATGTTCTCATTCTGTTTACGCCAAATTCTGACTCTACCATCTGAATGTCTCAACAGAAATCGAGACTCATCAGACCAGGCAACATTTTTCCAGTCTTCAACTGTCCAATTTTGGTGAGCTCTTGCAAATTGTAGCCTCTTTTTCCTATTTGTAGTGGAGATGAGTGGTACCCGGTGGGGTCTTCTGCTGTTGTAGCCCATCCGCCTCAAGGTTGTGCGTGTTGTGGCTTCACAAATGCTTTGCTGCATACCTCGGTTGTAACGAGTGGTTATTTCAGTCAAAGTTGCTCTTCTATCAGCTTGAGTCAGTCGGCCCATTCTCCTCTGACCTCTAGCATCAACAGGGCATTTTCGCCCCCACAGGACTGCCGCATACTGGATGTTTTTCCCTTTTGACACCATTCTTTGTAAACCCTAGAGATGGTTGTGCAGTGAAAATCCCAGTAACTGAGCAGATTGTGAAATACTCAGACCGGCCCGTCTGGCACCAACAACCATGCCACGCTCAAAATAGCTTAAATCACCTTTCTTTCCCATTCTGACATTCA